TCAATAACCAACTTGTAAAGCAATCCAGATATTTAAAATCACTACCCACAGTGTACCTAGGGTGGGAAAAAAACATAAGACCTACCTGTATCGGGTTGCCTAATATTCGCCTCTGTGTCCTTAATAAAATCATGACTTTAAATCATGTAAATAGTAAAATCTGGTAATTTTGTTAAAGGACACGGAGGCTCATATTATGCTAGTTCAAAGCTGTGAAATAACCATAGAGGAGACATGTTCTATAGGGTAAAAATAATATTCCCAAAATGTTGATTCCCGAGACCAATCAGCCGTCCGAAGAAGGTCTTCCAGTTTACAGCCCAGGTTGAAAGCTTTTGAAGCCATGGCCCCTCTAGTAGATTGTGCGACATAGACATTATCCATTTCACCCAGTGGGCTAGTGTCACCGTAGATACGGGGTGATAGGGTAGTCTAAGAGCCAAGAACAACTTGTGACACATTGGGAGAGAACACTCTCTTCATATTGGATTGTGCCCTGTCCAGTGCCGTGAAGGTACTGACATAGTCACCCAGTTCTTTTCCGAATAGGAGACCTTTTGCCTGTGGTCCACGCTCAGTTATTGCCAGATTGATGAGCTTAGGCCCGATTTTCATGAAGATGGATTTTTGCCTCTCAGTGGCTAACACGGTGTTAGCGTTGTCTATCAGACAAATGGATCGCTGGGCCCAGCCCCTTGTGACCGATAAATCTGTAATTGTAGCCGGTTCCCCTATTTACCACTTTAACGTCTTAAAGCATAGAACTTAGCAGGGCTAACCATACAGTTATCTTAGCCATAATATTATATAGTCAGTAAGAGATCCTTTATTTAAAATATATAAATAATTGAAAAGACAATATAAAATAAGGATTGTCTTGGAAGCAATAAAGTTTTGTCTTTTTAGATATTTTATTAAATAAAAATATAAATATAGACATAAAATCTATTACAATAATTTATAGCAGAGTTTGAGATTAAACTATATGCTTGCAATATCATTAAAATAGAATAACATACCCTCTTGAACATGGCAACATCTCTTAGTTATTATAATATGGAGCAATGTCTCTGTCTCCAAATCTCTCCTCTGTCCGTTATCATTTAAAAGGTACACATATTTATACCTTTTTTCATTTTAGGGTTACCGCAGTTCATATGTGAAAAAGTAAAACCTCTTTTACTTTATTCATTTTAGGGTTACTGCAGTTCATGTATGAAAAAAGTTATTTTACTTTTCATTAGAATTGTAGATTATGCTAGCTTTAGTATACTTATGATCTTAATTTTATTAATGACAGGAGGCGAGTATTTGCTTAAGTCTCTCTTTACTAGAACTCCACAGCAGCACAGAAAAACAACCAATCAGAGAAAAGTTAGGTACTATAAAACTCCCCTCCCCATACATCATTTTCTCTTTCAAGCGGCGACAAGACAGAACAAAAAGACAGAAAATATAATGGGGAAGAAACGAAGTCCGAGATATAATGAAAACGACAATGTCCGCCATCCGAGAAGAACGGTCGAACCAGATAGTGTAGATGGACTGTAAACTGAAACGAGAGAAAAAACAGAATCGAACAGATTGGTTAGCCAATGAAGTGTACTTTGAACAAACATGTAGGTACCCAATGTAGCAACCAAAATTACTGTAACCAGCATAGATCCCAAACCTACTTATGAAAACAGACATAAGAACAAGTGACAGGTAGCAGAGACAAAAAGCGGAGTTGTATACGTACCTGAAGAACTCAAATAATAAAATTAAACAAGGGAGGGATAAGAATGGGTGGGAAATACTCGCCTCCTGTCATTAATAAAATTAAGATTATAGGTACACTAAAGCTAGCATAATCTACAATTTTATAACATGACAGGAGGCTTCGTATTTGCTGTTTTAACGCTCAGCCAACAAATCCAAAGCTGTTTGTTTCGCTGGTACCTGTTCTATGAGATATTAGAGCAATCCTAAAAAGAACCTTCCAACTGTGAGAAATGATAGTAGACGGATCGATGAAGATGCTAACTGACGAAGCATTCCAAGTACGAAAAGACACCCTCCGCTGATAGATCTATTGTACGCGGGATTGCGACCCATTTCCTAGCAGCCGGTGCATGAGTTGCCAAGCTGACCTATTCGCCATTTTCCTGTCGGTGTAAAAGGTCGAAGGTCATCTGCGGACCTAGGGCCGTGAGAAAAAACTGTCACCATGTCTCACCTCTTGACGTGGAAGGTGGCTCCCCCGATCGTGCCAGGGTCATCAGGCAATTTGGCCCTGCAGGCAAATCTCCAACCTCAGGGCATGTGCCTAAGTCTATCACCAATTCCGTAATTGAACCGAGTAGGGTCTTTCATTCCCTCATGACCTACCCGGTGAGTTATCTCATCCGAGAGTAAATTTATTATGTAGGCTCCTAAAGGGCATCCAATCAAGGTCCCAAACTGAACTTGTGTGGTGGAACGGTGGTCGACTGTTCTGGGATTTGTGAGTCCCAGAAATATTCAAAAGGATGGGAACGTAAACCGGGGTTGAGATTTCTATCCAGATATATCATCGTCTGAGAGTGATCAGATGTCCGGATCCAATGGTGATTGGGACATGTATAACAAAGAAGAGTCCTCACGTGCTGTAGCAAGAGGGAGAAATAATCCGATTACACGTTTGTACGATCCTGTTCCATGCCCGACCTGTCAAAACTTGTGTATGGGTTCCTGGTCTACCTGCCACCTATAAGATAGGGTATATGCAACAGAGCTCCTTGTACTCCGACTGAGTACCCTCCGTTGACGGATGCTCCTAGCGCTTCCTGAGGACTCCAAGCGCTGCAGCAGACACCACAACCACCGCAGACTCCACAACCGCCGTATCTTGACTGGAGTCTCGCCGTCTTCCTTCTACCCTGGATCAGCTTCTGTCCTCCAGGACTGTGTGGGAAAGAACTCTTCCTTCCACCCTGTATGAACCTCCAACATCCAGGACTGTGTGGTGAAGACCCCTCCTCCAAGGAGAGCGTGTCAGGAACAAGCTCTTAAAAGAGCTAAGTGACTCAAGCTCAGGGGAGCATGCAGAGCATAGCAATCCCCAGTGTGATTATAACAGCTCCCTCCAATAACGAGACAAGGCTACGTTTAGAGGGATCAAGAAGAACTGTCAAAACCTTTATTCCCTTGGGACCAGCCAATACAGTCACCACAATAACATTGTTGTGAAACCTCAATAAAATCACAAACAGTCAAACCATATCAAGAAACACACAGTGACTTATCACAACACAATGGCACATTTTTAAAGGGGTGGGGGGAGACAATATTTAACAGTAAATATCTCACCTGCCTGCAGAATTAGCAATATGCAAATCTACCCGAATATGCAAATGAACCAGTCTTGCAATTCAGGTAGTGCATATTGCTGTTGCTACCAACAGAGGGCACTAGACCAGCTCCATAGCCAAACCCACCTAGTTGGTAGCAAACCTCAGCAATACAAGAGAGCAGGCAATACATTACACAGTACACACACACACACTATAAACAATTACATTACACACACCCTGCACCTATAATGGGTACAGGGTGACTAAAACATAAGATAAATAAAGCAGCCTACATAAATAGTCTGTCTGAAGGTAGACTAGGGGCTTTAAAGCCAGATACATGAAAGAGTCATAGTCACAGGGGAGGAGGCTGGCAAGTAGGCCTCTCCAGGACCAAGTGGCGAAGGGCACTTCGTCACATATCTCCCCTTCGGGGGGAAGACTAACCAGGCACCTGACTTTCTGTCGGTCAGTGCCTAAGTTAGTCGAGTCACCCACCGACCATAAGCAAGTGCCAGAGTAGCCCACCCACAACAAACAGTTATTAGAGCAGCCCACCCACAGCAAACAGTAACTGCACCTGGGTATTCCTCTGGGGTGATGGGGCAACACGCTGTGGGGACTTGAGGGGCAGAGGCCAGCGGCGCTCTGCCCTGATGTCAGCGCTTCTGCTGGGAGGAGGGGGGTGCAGGCCAGTCCTGTGACAAGGGGATCGGTAGGGCAGAGGCCAGCAGCGGTCTGCCCTGATGCCAGCTCTTCTGCTGGTATAGCCTGCAGGACATTAGGCTCTAGACAAGGGACAAAGGGAGGGCAGAGGCCGACTGCACTCTGCCCAGCTGCCAGCTCTTCCGCTGGGGGGCTTGGGACTTAGTCCGGCTCAGTAGCCAGGGGAACGTGGGGGTCAGTGGGGGTTAACATCTCCCCTGTTAACCCTGGAGCCAAGTTAGGAGTTAGCTGGGGAGGGGAATTCGTACTTACCCCCTCCTCCTGTTGTCCCTGTGAGGGTAGTTGGGGATCTGGACAGGCTGTCCAGCATCCCTGTAGGTCGGGCACAGAGACCACGATCCCCTCTGCGCCATCTGGGAGATTGGTGTCTCCCCTTGGTAGGGTAAGCTGCCGCTGGGGAGATAGGGTGCTGTGCTCCTCTCCCTGAAACACAGGCTGCCGCTGGAGAGGGAGACCGCCTGTCTCCACTCCCATAACATTGTCCTGCTGCTGGAGAGAGAGACCAACTGTCTCTGCTCCCTGTAGGACACACTGCTGCTGGGGAGGAAGGACGACACCTTCGGCTCCCTGTAACTTGCACTGCCGCTGGGGAGGAAGGACGACACCTTCGGCTCCCTGTAACTTGCACTGCCGCTGGAGACTAGGTGTCCATATCCTCAACCTCCACAGTTGTCGCTCAAAGGCCATTGCCGCACTGTTCTCAGCACTCAACTGGCGCATTACTTGGTGGACCACCTCGTTTGAAAGGTCTGGGCCATAGCAGACCAACCGCCTCTTTACCTCCTCAATGTAAGCGTCGTCCTCGTAGCGACGTATCATGTTGAGGTGCTCTTCGCAGGGCTCTATCCATCCCTGCTCCATGCTGCTGTAGTTAGGGACGCTGCACAGTGGCTAGCGTTGCCCTCAATAACCTCTCATACGATACCAGTGTCTCCGAGCTGCTTCTCCTCGCACTAGGACGCCATCCCACCGCTGCCACCAATGTAACGGAGCTCCTTGTACTCCGACTGAGTACCCTCCGTTGACGGATGCTCCTAGCGCTTCCTGAGGACTCCAAGCGCTGCAGCAGACACCACAACCACCGCAGACTCCGCAACCGCCGTATCTTGACTGGAGTCTCGCCGTCTTCCTTCCACCCTGGATCAGCTTCTGTCCTCCAGGACTGTGTGAGAAAGAACTCTTCCTTCCACCCTGTATGAACCTCCAGCATCCAGGACTGTGTGGTGAAGACCCCTCCTCCAAGGAGAGCGTGTCAGGAACAAGCTCTTAAAAGAGCTAAGTGACTCAAGCTCAGGGGAGCATGCAGAGCATAGCAATCCCCAGTGTGATTATAACAGCTCCCTCCAATAACGAGACAAGGCTACATTTAGAGGGATCAAGAAGAACTGTCAAAACCTTTATTACCTTGGGACCAGCCAATACAGTCACCACAATAACATTGTTGTGAAACCTCAATAAAATCACAAACAGTCAAACCATATCAAGAAACACACAGTGACTTATCACAACACAATGGCACATTTTTAAAGGGGTGGGGGGAGACAATATTTAACAGTAAATATCTCACCTGCCTGCAGAATTAGCAATATGCAAATCTACCCGAATATGCAAATGAACCAGTCTTGCAATTCAGGTAGTGCATATTGCTGTTGCTACCAACAGAGGGCACTAGACCAGCTCCATAGCCAAACCCACCTAGTTGGTAGCAAACCTCAGCAATACAAGAGAGCAGGCAATACATTACACAGTACACACACACACACTATAAACAATTACATTACACACACCCTGCACCTATAATGGGTACAGGGTGACTAAAACATAAGATAAATAAAGCAGCCTACATAAATAGTCTGTCTGAAGGTATACTAGGGGCTTTAAAGCCAGATACATGAAAGAGTCATAGTCACAGGGGAGGAGGCTGGCAAGTAGGCCTCTCCAGGACCAAGTGGCGAAGGGCACTTCGTCACAGTATAATATAGTGAGACCTTTAAGTCCCTGTACCCCTGACTGTCTGGGCAGGTGTCTCCCAGAGTAGGCCCTAGGTCAAGGGACCCAGGGATGTGAATTCGAGAACCGAAGTCAAGGTCTCCCTATAGAGGGATACCTCCCTTCTTAGATTGGAGTCCGCGAACACCTGGCGTTCTCTAAAATGCAGGCAAGACATAATGTCCCTTCCCTCACGACAGGTGACTCCAGAGAGGAGATATAACGAAAAACAAGGGTCTAGCTTCAGGTGTTGTCCCGTTTGAGCATGTCGGCAGCCCTATCTGAGTCAGCTACACATCCTGAGCAGTGCTCCAGCGGTAGGTTGCGTCCCGACTTTGACGTCCGTGTAGGAGTCAGGACAAATAGGGTTTCTCCACAGAGTCCACCATAGGTCTACTTGATGTTAGTTGAAAAGGTGGGTTAGCGAGAACCCAAACCAAGACGGGTCCCGTGCGGGATATAGAGTATAGATGGAGGGCACGCCATATCCGAACCATGTACTCCAGATATGTGCTCAGAGGAGATGGGGTAATCCTGTCATCTTATCCCAAGATAGTAATGACCAGGGAACCCAAGTCAACTGGGGGTTCCGGTCTTACCATGTGTGCGCACTGTCTACCTGCAGACCAGGTAGAGGGCCTTATCTAGTCTTGTTACCCGAGCGAGGCAGTGCCGTTTGCTCTATGAAGGCCTCAGGATCTCATGTCACCTTGACATGGGAAAACTGTCTGCGTAGTATGTGCGCAATGGTCTGAATATCTTAAACAGGGCGCAATAGTCTGTTTGGCATGGCGCAAATATACCAGACCCTGTACTCTTGTAATACCTGCGATTCATCCGTTAGCCGTACCGTCTCCAGGAGTGTGCGTAAATAAGCGGAAAATCTCCCCCGTAATACCTCTGTGCGTATTTCACGCGTGGGATACAGTGGTCCGGATCCAGTAGATCCATTATAGGAGGTGAAATAGAGGGATCCAGTTTAAATATGTATGCCCTGCATGATCAGACAGCCTTCTATAACGAAATCGATAGCAAGGTCGTTAGATCCAACTGAATGCAGGAGGGATGCCCTTCTATGCAGTCATCGTTGTCTTGTACAGGTACCAGCCTGTGTGATGAAAAAATGGACGGCACCGTAGTGCGCTGAGTGTATGAGAGAGCCCCCTCGCTAACAATGGGATCGAACTCTGTGTCAGCGTCCAGGTGATAGCATGAGCGGGCCGCACCTGTTAATAACCAAAAGTTAGAATCTACCTCCGTGTCCGGTTCCCTATATGGGAACATGTCCTCTGTATTCAGCTCAGTAACGGGCTGAGGTTGCAGGAGGGCCGCGCCCTCTAATAATGAATCAGTGCCCGGTTCAGTATATGAGAGGGTTCGCTCTCTCAGTATATGAGAGGGTTCGGCCGAGGTGATGAGGGCCGCACCCTCTCATAATTCAAACTAAAGTCCATATCAGGCTCAGGGTGACCCTGCAGGGTTCTCCATATCATAATATCAGCCTAGGATTGAGGTTCTGAGGAGGGTCCCTCTCTGGCCACGGGACCTCTCTCCAAATCACTCACCTGAGAGGTGGAATCAACTGGTAATAAACCAGAGCAATGGTAGATGAGACAGTAGATAACCTTGTCCATCTTAATGAGAGAATGCCCTCTCGGGGCACAATGATAGAATCTACCCATGGACCGCCCGGAGCTGTGCATGCGCGCGGGATCCAGGATGACCGTCGGTAGCCTGAGGAAGGCTGGAGACGTTCTCCGCGATCCACAAGAGCCCAGCAGGTCGGAGGAGGTCAAATCAGGCCTCTCGACGACCCGAGCGATAGGAAAATTAGAAAGGCATGAAAACAAATAATGTAGATAAATATAAATACGTACCTAGTAGAGAAGATAAATAACAGACCGGGAAAGCAAGTCAAGTAAACCCAACCGAAAGGTCAGATACACACACTGACTACATACAGATACACACACTGACTACATACAGATACACACACTGACAACACACAGATACACTGACACATATACTGTCAGACATACTGACACACAGACACATGCACTGGAAGACATACTGACACATACACTGACAGGCATACTAACACAGACATACATACATACTGACACACACAGACAGACATACTGACACACACAGACAGATATACTAACACACACACAGTCAGACATACATGTAAATTTTACATGTTTAAACCCACCCTCCAGTTATCCTGCCCTGTGGCCCCCCCATGTGTCTCATTCCCCCTCCCCGCCCCCCCAGCCTCCTTGTGTCTCATTCTTCCCCTTTAGCCTCTCCATGTGTTTCCTTCCCCCCTTAGCCCCTCCACATGTCTCATTCCTCCCCAGCTCCTCCACGTGTCTCATTCCCCCATCCTGTCCCTCCATGTGTCTCATTCTTGCATCCAGCCCCTCCATGTCTCTCATTCTTCCACCCAGCCCCTCCATGTCTCTCATTCTTCCACCCAGTCCCTCTACGTGTCTCATCCCACAGCAGACCCTCTATGTGCCTGACCCCCCCCTTTCATGTGTCTCATCCCCCCTCTTGTCTCCTCCCATGTGTCTCTCCCCCCCTTCCCAACCCATCCATGTGTCTCCCCCACACGCCAGCCCCTCCATGTGTTTCTCTCCCCCCTCCCTAGCCCCTCCATGTTGCTCTCCCCCTCCCCAGGAGCTCCATGTTGCTCTCCTCCCTCTCCAGTCCCTGCATGTTTCTCTACCCCCTTCACGATGCCCTCCCCCATCCCCAGCCCCTCCATGATTCTCTCCCCTCTCCCTAGACCCTCCTTAATTCTCTCCCCTCTGCATGTTGCTCTCCTCTCTCCCCAGCCCCTCATTGATTCTCTCCCCTCTGCATGTTGCTCTCACCCCTCTCCAGCCCCTCCATGTTGCTCTCCCCCCTCTCCAGCACCTGCATGTTGCTCTCCTCCCTCCCCAGTCCCTGCATGTTTTTCTACCCACGATGCTCTCCTCCATCCCCAGCCCCTCCATGATTCACTCCCCTCTCCCCAGACCCTCCTTAATTCTCTCCCCTCTGCATGTTGTTCTCCCTCTTCCCCAGCCCCTCCTTGATTCTCTCCCCTCTGCATGTTGCTCTCACTCCTCCCCAGCCCCGGCATGTTGCTCCCCCCCAGCCCCCGCATGATTCTCTACCCCCTCAATGATGCTCTCACCCCTCCCCTCCATGATGCTATCACCCCTCCCCAGCCTCTCCATGATTCTCTTCCCCCCTCCCTAGCCCCTCTATGATTTTCTCCCCGATGCATTTTGCTCTCACCCCTCCCTAGCCCCATGCACTATTCTCTACCCCCTCCATGATGCTTTCCCCCTCCCCAGCCCCTTCATGATTCTCTACCCCCTCCCCTTCTTAACTGCTCATCACGCGCGGTTCCAGATCTGCCAGGAAGTGCTCTCTCAGTGAGCACTTCCTATCAGACTGCACTCCCGCTCGACCACGCTACACACAGTGACCAGCAGGAGGGGAGTGCTGTGCTGTGTGCTCCCCTCTTCGCGGTCTCCAGATGAACGTGGGCCCTGACCCTGAAGTGATGCGGCTGGCCAATGGTTGCAGGGGTCAACAAAGCGGCCGGGTCCCCTTGAGTGACAGGCCCAGTCGCAGTTGTGACCCCTGCGACCGTGGTAGTTCCACCACTGACCATGTAGAATAGATAGAATAGCAGAATAACTGTCTTTTTCCATTCAAAATTCGATGAAAGTAGCATTACACTAAAAAATTTTTTGGGGAGGTGACACTTTTTTTTTTCTTTTCACAAAATGTCCTAAAAAAATCTGTTCTTGTTCCAACAATCCAGTTTCTTCAATCATTACTTTATTCTTCTGTTGGGCTCTGTTTATCTAGAAGAGCAAATGTGTTTTGCTTTGTTTTATTACTATTAGCTTTGAATCAAAAACAGCAGGAGAAACTGGTGAAAGGCTAAATGTAAAGTTTACTTATATAGCATATAGTATGTTATCATTTATGTTCTATATTATTCACTTAAATGACTGGGTGAAAAGTCAATTTTGTTTCTTGCAGAGACTCCCACGAGATAGATAATTTCTATTGGCAGGAACTTCCAAGAGAAAATTTTTTCCCCTTTGGGAATAGCATGAAATAACCTGTTAAGTGGAAACATTTGCAGGAATAATTCTTCACAAACATGTTTTGAATGGCAGTCCAGGGGAAAAAAGAGTGAATGACTACATAAACATAACATAACAGAAACATAACAACTTGTGACGGGCTCCTGTAATCTCACTCTACGGAAAGCAAAATTAATATTAAAGGAACACTATAGCGTTACAATTACAAACATGTATTTCTAATACTATAGT